GTGGGGGATTTGGGTTGGTGGGCCTGGAGGGGGTGCCCCAGCTGGGACTTCGAGGGGCGTGGCGCGCTGCTGTGCGGGTGGTGGGGGACGTGGAAGGGGGGTTGCGGACGAGTGCGGCGTGATTGGGGGGTGACCTGCCCACGAGCTGGGTGTCGGGTTGGGGGGGTGGGTGTATGCTGAGAATTGTGGAGAGGTGGGGCGTCGGCAGAGAAGTGGGGGGAGGGGAGGGCGACTTGGGGGTAGAGCTGGGCAAGGTGGTCAAGGGGGAGGGGGCTGGTGGAGGTGCGTTGATGTGCGTTGAGGACTGAGGCATACTGTGTGGGGGGGGGGGGGGGGGGGGGGGGGGGGGGGGGGGGGGGGGGGGGGGGGGGGGGGGGGGGGGGGGGGGGGGGGGGGGGGGGGGGGGGGGGGGGGGGGGGGGGGGGGGGGGGGGGGGGGGGGGGGTGGGGGGGGGGGGGGGGGGGGGGGGGGGGGGGGGGGGGGGGGGGGGGGGGGGGGGGGGGGGGGGGGGGGGGGGGGGGGGGGGGGGGGGGGGGGGGGGGGGGGGGGGGGGGGGGGGGGGGGGGGGGGGGGGGGGGGGGGGGGGGGGGGGGGGGGGGGGGGGGGGGGGGGGGGGGGGGGGGGGGGGGGGGGGGGGGGGGGGGGGGGGGGGGGGGGGGGGGGGGGGGGGGGGGGGGGGGGGGGGGGGGGGGGGGGGGGGGGGGGGGGGGGGGGGGGGGGGGGGGGGGGGGGGGGGGGGGGGGGGGGGGGGGGGGGGGGGGGGGGGGGGGGGGGGGGGGGGGGGGGGGGGGGGGGGGGGGGGGGGGGGGGGGGGGGGGGGGGGGGGGGGGGGGGGGGGGGGGGGGGGGGGGGGGGGGGGGGGGGGGGGGGGGGGGGGGGGGGGGGGGGGGGGGGGGGGGGGGGTGGGGGGGGGGGGGGGGGGGGGGGGGGGGGGGGGGGGGGGGGGGGGGGGGGGGGGGGGGGGGGGGGGGGGGGGGGGGGGGGGGGGGGGGGGGGGGGGGGGGGGGGGGGGGGGGGGGGGGGGGGGGGGGGGGGGGGGGGGGGGGGGGGGGGGGGGGGGGGGGGGGGGGGGGGGGGGGGGGGGGGGGGGGGGGGGGGGGGGGGGGGGGTGGGGGGGGGGGGGGGGGGGGGGGGGGGGGGGGGGGGGGGGGGGGGGGGGGGGGGGGGGGGGGGGGGGGGGGGGGGGGGGGGGGGGGGGGGGGGGGGGGGGGGGGGGGGGGGGGGGGGGGGGGGGGGGGGGGGGGGGGGGGGGGGGGGGGGGGGGGGGGGGGGGGGGGGGGGGGGGGGGGGGGGGGGGGGGGGGGGGGGGGGGGGGGGGGGGGGGGGGGGGGGGGGGGGGGGGGGGGGGGGGGGGGGGGGGGGGGGGGGGGGGGGGGGGGGGGGGGGGGGGGGGGGGGGGGGGGGGGGGGCGGTGGGGGGGGGGGGGGGGGGGGGGGGGGGGGGGGGGGGGGGGGGGGGGGGGGGGGGGGGGGGGGGGGGGGGGGGGTGTGGGGGGGGGGTAGGTGGGGGGGGGGGGTGGGGGGGGGGGGGGGGGTGGGTGGGGGGAGGGGGGGGTGGGGGGTGGGGGGGGTGGGGGGGGGGGGGGGGGGGGTTTTGTGGGGGTGGGGGGGGGGGGGGGGGGGGGGGGGGGGGGGGGGGGGGGGGGGGGGGGGGGGGGGGGGGGGGGGGGGGGTGTGGGGGGGGGGGGGGGATGGGGGGGGGGGGGGGGGGGGGGGTGGGGGGAGGGGGGTTTTTTTTGGGGCTCAGGATGGATATTTTCGTGTGTTTTGCCCGTGTTGGGTGTGGGGCCGTGGTCCTGGTTTGGTTATGTTGCGGGTGAACGGGGCAATATGGTGTAGTGCTGTCTGACTTTATGTGGCTAGTGACTGTGGGCTTGTGAGGTTTTGCGCGTAGAGGGCGTGTGTGTCATGGGCGAGAGGTGGGGCCCTGTTACCCGGTTGGGTGGTGGGGGAGAGGCTCGGGGGGCCGGTGAGGCGTGCGTTCGTGCGTGGGGATGGCGGCTGGATGAGGAGTGTGTAGGTGTGGTGCAGGAGTTATGGGACCGCTGGGAAGGGGGAGTATGGTGGGCTTGTTGGGGGGGGGCGGCAGGGGATTATGCGGTGATGTGGCTTGGGGTGTGTGTAGTGGGAGTGGTGAGGTGGTTGTGTGCCGGTTTGTAGTTCGTATGGCTGCAGATCCGTTGGCGTATCTCTGGAGTGTGCGTTTCGATATTGTGAACGGAAGGAGACGAAGGGCGATATGTGCGGTGTTGTGATCGTCCGTTCTTGCTGGGGAGGCATGGCTGAGTTCGTTCCCCAGCATCCGTGGCCTTCTGATATCCACGTTGTCTAGTTGTTGCGCTGTCTGCTGGGGTTTTTGTATGGGGGGTGGCTGCATGTTAGTTGCTGCGGAGGGTTTGGTTGTGCTAGTGATTGTAGGTTTTTGGTGCGATTCAGGTGTCGGAGTTTGCGTTTTATGAGCTAGCCCTCTTTAATATAGTTTTTTAGTATTCTGGCTGGGTTAATGGGTGCGGTTGGACTCTGGTCCTTGGATGCTGGTTCGGACTGCAGGATCGTGGGATTGCTGTGTTCGGTTGTGCTTGTGATGATTTATGATCTTATATGGCTTTCCAGTTTCATTTTATTGTCTGTGGAGGTATGCAGGCAGGATGAATGTTGTCCTGGCTGGTCAGTGCAGAGGGGGTGGGGGGGGGGGGGGGGGGGGGGGGGGGGGGGGGGGGGGGGGGGGGGGGGGGGGGGGGGGGGGGGGGGGGGGGGGAGAGTGTGTGTGTATGCCGGGTGTAGGACGTTTGCTTTGATGCGTGCCGTGGGGCGAAGATGTGGTAAAGGTAGTGTTTGAATAGGTAGTTAGAAAGGCCGTATGCGTGGCACGTGACGGTGCAAATGGTTCTGATCGATGGCTGCTGAGTACCATTTACGACGTGTAAGTGGTGTGGAGATATGATATCGCTGGTTATATGTTGAAATGTGGGGCTATTGTAGGAATTACGCAGGTTTAAATGTACTGTGTGTGTGGGCAGTTGTAGTGGATTTGTGCTGTTGTGATGTGTGTCGTGTGGGTTGTGTTTGGTGAATGCGTGAGAGACTTTGTTTGTTGGTGGGCTAATGAGTGGGGGGTATATGAAGTTGTGCAATCTGCTAGGTAGCGGTAATGGTTTTATTCTTTTATGCCGCCCCGAACATTGAGGTATTTGCTATGGGAGAGTTTTCTTTTTCGGTTGTGTTTATGTTTTGGAGTCCGTTCTTTCGCTTTTGGCTATCTTTTCTGGGATTGGCAGGCATACGCATTGTTCCGGTGATGCCTTGGGTGCTTTCGTAGGTAGATGATTATTTTTGTTTCGTGGCCGCCGCGTGGGTGTGATGGGGGTGGTGATGGATTGGTTGGAGGGATGGGTGTGGTGGCGTGCAGGCGTGTGTGGGTTGTGGCGGTTGATTCGAGCGGGGGAGAGTGGGCTGACAGTTTGTAGTGTGTCGTGTCGAGTTCTACGGTGTCCGCAAGTACTGGGTGCGGGGAAGCAGTTGGGCGCCGGGGGGCCCGGGTGGGCATCGAGGCGTGTCATTGTTTTACGGATCGGTGGATGGGGTTGGTGTGGTGGTGGCCCTGGTGCGAGGCTATACTGTTGGCGTGGCGGGCGGTGTTGCTTGTTGGGTGCCTGAGGCTGGCGGATGCGTGTTGTTACTGTGGCGACGTATGTTATGTAGAAGGTGATGGCTGTCTCGGTGGTGCTTGGTTCGGGATTCTAGAAATAACACATGGGTTTCGGTATAAAGGGTGTAAAAATTCAATGTGGAAGTTACATGGGATCCGCATAATTTTCATCTAAATGCTGGAGTGCACTAAATAGCGCTGGTTAAACTAGATCATACGCAAGTAAGAACACGCGTATGCGTCGAGAATTGTAAGAGTAAATTTGGTTTAAGTATAACATCAGAGAGACTGCGGCCACAAGCAGAGCTGTAACTATACACTTGGAATGCGATCAGATTGATCGAATGGACAAACAATTCCCCTTAATGAAATCTTGCTCAAACTGAAATTACTTGTCACAATCCATTCGCTGGGCAATTATGCAAGGACCTTATTTAAACTTCCAACTACTGAGATAAACGCTGCTAACAGTTATATCCTAGTTGCCAAGGCGCATATATTCAGCCATTTTGGGTCGGGTTCCAATTTTATCTCAAATTATCACTGCTTTTGGACCCAAGTCACAAAGAAACCGGCTATAAATTGATTTGCGGGAGAGCTGTTACGAAAGTATCTACATCGTAAACTAAATGTTTTCAAAAAAGAAACTGAATCAATTAAATTATGTGACTCCTTCCTATCTTGACGGATGGGATTTAGACCATAACTACGATTACACTGGTAATTTTCATTCCACATTTAGGTTATTAAATGAGAATGGCTAGTCAACCGTCTTGTACCGTGAGACCATTTTGGTCACCAGTTAAAACAATTTCATTTCATCAATTGCGGGATAGGAAATTAGAAGGTTTCTTTCTCCGTTTTTTATAGATACCCTCATACAATAAATCAGAAGATCACTGTGTGCGGAAATAGAGATTGTTGTGAGCAAAATTTGAGTTTGTAACACTTGTGATGTTCATGCTTTACTCGTTTTCCACATAGAACTTGCGCTTACTTTGGCTGTACTAATTCCAACAAACGAAAGTAGCATACTGCTAATGAGTACAATGAGAAGAAGGATGATGCAACTTTATCTCAATATGTACTCTCAGATCACATGCATAGGTGACACATACGAAAGTAGAAATCACCAGGCTTTCTTCACAACTACCGGGTAATTAGAAACAATGGCCAATACAGGCAGGATAAATAGAAGACATGCGCCTGCTAACCGTCGAAATGGTTTAGCATGCGACGCATTATCATTGTACGTAAAACTTCTAAAATGAAAGCAGTAACAAAAAGGAAGCGTTATTAAGTGTTAGCTTCACTTGAATACTAAAAGTAATGAAAGAATCTTTGTGGACCACCTGAATACATGGAAACCTTGGTCATTACTAGAACTAATGCCCAAAAAGGCACACGTATTTCACTGGCATACTTCCATAATTTGCTTTAACGTATATATATATATATGTATATATATATATATATATATATATATATATATATATATATATATATATATATATATATACGGAAGTTGCTTGGAAGTCTTAAGCAAACCTTTCCACAGCAGAGAAATGAAGGAATTTTGTGGAACTAGCTACTGATTTTACTTACATGCGTTTGGCCCACCGCAATGAGGCTGGACCTTACCGTGGTGCGATGGTATGTGTGCCTCAGAGATCTACTGAGCTAACCTGGGTGGTGATTTTTGCACCTTCAGAGACACTCATACCAGATTGGTCAATCGTTATAGGTCAGAGAAACTTAGCCGCTTGGTCCTCTAGTTTGGGGCATGGAATGAGGGTGGCTCCTTATTCCCTAAAACGGGCCCTCTGTAGTCCAGTGTCAAAATCTTGCTTCCTTGCGGTAAGGTTTTTGAACCAAAAGCTTTGTTTGAGATCACTAATCGTTCCCCGGTCTAGGCCTAGGCAACCTAATAATATTCTGCCTACGCATTACACCATGACATTTCCTTTTATCAATTTGTTGATGCTCTGGCCGTCGCAGAGGAAAATTAACGGCTCCCTATTTTACCTGGAATATACCGAAGACTAGAACGAAAGTTTGCTCTAGCTTCCTCGTTAGACATTGCTATCTGTGGAAAAAATTAACATTTACAATCAGGTCAAGTGACAATGCGGCAACATTCAAAAGCCGGCTCTCCAATTACTTTGGTCTAAATACCATTTTCACTACATTTACGTTGGAGAGCTACCTCGATAAGCTATCCCACGTTTACAAAAACTGGCTTTTGAATCAACCATCAACCGGAGCGTAACCACATGGAACGCATGCCACATTGTTCCACCAACGCACATCGATCATGCATAAGCATGGATACGTTTGTCCACATTCATCTGTGCCGCTACAGACAGTTTCTCGCCTCAGGAGAAATTTATGTATTATTATTATCTATATATTATCGCCTCACTTCCAAAATCTGCAAGCATACAGAGTTGATAAACCTGTCCTTAAATAGATCAGAAACTTCCCCTTTCAGCGGAGCCTTCAGGTTCGATTTCGTGTTTGGATTTCTGATCCAACTGGTTTGGATTACGTGTTCCACAGGAATCCGTGTTGGGACTGCGGTTATACTCATTCTACATTGACGACCTGGCGAGTGTCATGAAGTCAAATTTCCTGCTTTTTGCTGATGAAATCAAGGTATGGAGGGCAACCCAATCGCAGGATTACCACGATGTTTTTCAACGAGATAGACTACGCTTTTGAATGATCATAGTTCAATCTACTTCCGTTTAACACGGACAAGTACAAAACCCTGGATATCCGCCACGATCACACGTACGCATGTAACCATGGAGACGACCTCCTGAAAATCTCCTCACAAGAGCGAGTTCTTGGGGGGGGGGGTAATCCAAGACGACCTCAGCTGTTCGGCGTAGTCCTTGAAGGAGTTTAAAACCGCGAAAAACATGTTAGCCTGTTAGGAAGAGCATTCGGGCAGTTTAATCATTCCATCTTCACCAAAGTGCTCAATGTAAATGTGAGGCCCCGTGTAGAGTACGCGATTCAGGCTTGGCAACCCTGTTTAAGTACGACCTGGTTGCACTGAAGACCGAAGAGTGACGTGCACGAATAATGCGAGGGGTTTGTCTGACCTGCAATACCTTAGGCGACTGAAAGCCCCAGGAGTGTACAGCGGAATGTATCACCTTCTACGGGATGAACTCATCTTAGCGTTACAGATTTTGAAAAATAGCTGGTCACGCTTGCTGCCACCTCCTGAAGCTTAGCAACAACACAGCATTAAACTGTCATCAATTAAAACTTGTCACCCAAAACAGTCGGTTAAAGTGCCGCTGCAATTATCTTTCCCTTCGACTTTGTCGACCGTTCAACGCCATTTCGAATTTTGTCATTCGAGCACCCAGGCTGCAAATTGTTTTAAGATAAATGACTCGACGATGCCTTACCTCATTTTCATTTACTTGCCCTGATTTCTGTTCACTGTGATGACAAGATGCAGCCAAACATGGTGCTCAACAACCCCACGAAATCTGGGTGGACGGATTTACCTATGTGTGCTTGGATGATGTGTCACTCTGCTTGGATGATGTGTTAGCGAAATCCGTGTTACGACTGCTTACCTCACCGAACTACAAAGGACGTAGGAAGAAAGGAAGGAAGTGGTCCTTCAATCAAAACTTTTGGTAGCACGGATGTTAAAAAGCTGATAGATATTCCGTTGCAAGCTAAAATCTGAGGTTCGGCTGAAGACAATCAGCGATATGCCACCTAGAGATGATATGTCACACAAACAGCCAAACGGAATGGGGTTTATAAAAGAACAATGCACCAGTAGTTTGACGAATGAGCCCATACAATCTATAGATGATATTGACCAGACACCTTCCACTGTACGTCGAAGGTTAGACACAGGACTATCTACATGGACGATGAATAAGACGTTAAACCCTTCACCAAGTACACATCGAAAAAACCATTAGTTGCCGGCCACTCACTGGTCGACGAAACTTCACGTATGAATTGTACAACCTCCGGAACATGGCTTAAATCTGAGAAACGTTCGTGTATGTACACTAACGCCCAAAGGCTCCTCAGTAAAATTACCGAACTTCGACTACGTCAGGTTGTGAATGCTTGGGACCTAATTTCTATTACCGAAACTTGGTTACACCAAGAGGTGACTGATGCTGAGGTTGAGATAGCCGGAATGT